TGATCTACTCAGGTCCCTTCCGACCCTAGAAACTATAACACACAGAATCAGTACACCACTGTACTGTGAAAGTAAAAATCTGCGGCTTAACTCAGTTCACCTATAGCAGTGACGACTCCCCCTGTAGTGTACTGGTATTGTTTTAATTAAAATCAATAAAAACAACACAGGAGCAGCTTTAATACAAACAAAGCTAAAAAAGGCAGAACGCTCACTGACCCTTGAGAGCAGAAAACAATCCATGACTTTTAGTAGTACAAAAAATTAAATGCATGTAGTTGCCAGCTAAAGCATATCCTTATTTTAGGAAAGAAATTTATGTATGTGAGTACCATGCAAATAAGCTTAATACAAAGATACTAAGCAATACTACTCACCCTCATGAGATTCTCCATTTCTTTTCTCTTGCATCGCAGCTTCAAAGTTTAGTTGGAGAATTTTGTTTAAAGTGGTTATCCATTCTTCCATTTCCAGTTCACTGTCTGCAGCTAAAAGATAACTACTCTTGTCTTGCATCTTGAGTTCAAAAGCAAAACGCCTGACTCGGCTGTTCTACAGTAAGAAAAAATAAAAATCTTTCCATATCACCTACATTTTCTCCCCTCTTCTCATGGACCAGGGGATGAACTCTGTCTAATATTAGAGTTCTGTGGCTCATCTATGATAAACTATATATTGAGATACAAGGTGCCTATTTATTAGACCAGTTTTCATTTTCTGCTTCACTTCTCTATTTAAAATTATTTGCCACCACAGGCTGCTACTTGCTACCCAGCTCTCGTTGCTGCTGCCCTTGAAACTCCCCTTCAGAGAGATCTGCAAATACCGTGTAGGAAAAAAACAAGTGTTTTGCCTGGCAGATGCCACTTCTGCTGCAGCGAAGAGAAGCTGAACATAGTAGGCAATCCCCAGCAATGCCACCCTCTGCTGCCATGGCTGGAGCATGCTGCTGATTCCCCGAGCTGCTGAAGGCTGGATCCAGTTTCTTCAGGGGCCACATCTGGCCCACAGGCTGTAGATTGCCAACCTCTGACTTGAGTACCTTATTTTCAATTTAACTTATTAACAGATAATATCCTCGGGACTTACTCCTCCTATCAACTTTTCCAAAATAGAACAGACATCTTCATTTTTGAAACTATAGTCAAGGTGTAAAAAATTCTGCAGTCATCTTGACCCCAGTCCCTTAGAAAAGCACACATTCTTTGTGCAGTCAACTGAAAATTCTGTGTCAACTTCATTTTATATTATTAACAAGTAATAAGCACAGGACACATACAGTAACCATTTTTTCTATTAAATGCAATGTCCCCACCATCTTGGGATTTTCAGAATTAAATATTAGACAGTTTTTTGTGTTATTAATGTAAAGAAAGAGTAGTTTAGAGAGTGGAGAATTTTGACAACAGAAAAGGTAGAGTGTAGTTTCTGGTAGGGAAGGTACGGCAGCAATTTGGTAACAAGCTGGTTCTGCCAGACGGTTACTAGTAAAACAAAAAAGGACTTCAAGATTGGTTGTTTCACTAACCAGAGTGCTCCAAAAGCGTTACAGACAGACAGATGGACTAAGCCCTTTATTATATAAGAATTATCTTCATAACAGTTAGTAGCAAAATACTGCTTTTAGTTGAAGTTTAAATTCTGAAGCACAATTCTGCTACAAATTTTCTGGCTCAGTAATTGTAGAATGTGGGACACTGATTACAGCTAACAAGATATAATAAAATATGCACTACTATGAATGAAGGACCAAGAGAGGTAGTTAGCCCTGTTAGTCTAAAGTTAGTACATTACATAGACATTATACGTTTAATTCAGACTACAGCCATCACTGTAGTCTGAATGAATGTCTGTAGTCTGAATTAAAATTGGCTCCAGTCTGAATTAAGTAATCCTCATTGAATAAGGATTAAAGTAAATGCAGATAAGGGCAGTCCAAATTAGGCAATGTGGCAGAAACTGTGTGTTCTTGTGGCAACCCCACCCCCCTCCAAAAAAACCAAACAAACCAAAAAAACCCCAATAACATATTGGACTTTCTTAATAGGAGTGCTGTTTGCAAGGAAAGCAATCCTTTTGCTCTAGTCAACACTGGTGAAACCTCACCTGCAGTACTGTATTCAGTTTTGGTCACTGCACTTCAAGAATGCTGTAGACAAACTAGGAAGTGTTTAGCAGATGGCAACAAATGATTAGAGGACCGGGAAACAGGACTTGTGAAATACAGTTGGAAGAACTGGGTTTCTTTAGCCTGGGAAAAAGAAGACTAGGGAGGGGCTGCGGCCTGAGAGATTTGATACAGTCTGCAAATACCTGATGGATGGTTATAAAGAGGATGTTGACAGGCTATCCTATGTCTCTAGGGAAAAGATGAGTGACAGTCTTAAATTTCCACAAAGGAAATTTAGGTTGGATATTAGTAAGAATTCTCTATCAGGATGTTTGACTAGGAGTCAAATCTTGTTCTTTCCTTTGGATACATAGCTAACAATTAATTATTCCATTTTATTAATAAATACTAATTTTATTAATGCGTTAACTATTTTTGTGAGCCTTGTTCTCAAGTGCCTTCAGTTACATCTGTCCAACCCTACAGCCGTAGCTGTAGTCAAAGCAGTAGCACATGTGACTGATGGCAAAATTTGACTCTGCAAGTGGAACTTGATTCACAGTTCCATTTAATTTTCTTAAAAACTGGTTCTAAAGAGCTAAGAATAAAACAAAATTTGTTACAGAAGTTACCAGTTCTGGCTTTAAATAAACACAGGAAGAAGTTTTATTTACTAAAACCATGCCATTTTTAGATAATCATTTTCCTGACTAACCACAGTTTAAGGCCACATCCTGCCCTACTCTAAGCTGCACAGGTAATCATGGTGCAAGGGAAGAATAAAAATACATAAATTAATTTCTACCTCTCTCCCTTACCAGCTCTGCAGGAACCATGCTAGTTCCAGAACCAGTGTTTCTTCTGAATTCATCTCCCTTGCCACAAGCTCCCTTTGAACATCATATTTCCAAACATTTCCTCTAACCTATTTTGTGACAGAGCTTGGAAAGCCACAGTCAAACCAAACTGAGAGATTCTCTGATGAGATGTCTTTCTTTCTTTGTCTTGTTTTTTAATTTTATACCTCTGCACAGTTTCAGTTGCATTACATAAGAATGTCCCTCCAAGCCAAGCAAGCCTTAGGCCAGGTACAGACATTCAGTTCCTACCAGGAGAATCACCATTCTCCAAGCAGAAAATAAAAGTATACTGACATTCAGACTTTCTTCTGGAGGAAGAATGGCTAGCTTGGGGAGAAAAAACAACCAGGCAACAACCAGGATTAAGTCAGTCCTGGTGGAAGAGTTTCTCCCAGGAGACTGAACATCTACACACTTTCCCACAGCTTAACTCCTCCGGGGGAACAGAAAGAGTGGAGCTAGGGGAAAGGCTCCTTGCCTTCATGAGACTAGAATCACCCTGGTCTTGAGAAGGCATGCAGGGCAGCTGCTACCCACTCTTTCCTACTTCAGGTGGTGAGAGGAAGAGCAGCCACTACTGCCATCAGCTTCACTTTGCTACCCCCACCACCCAGCTCAGCAGCAGGGCAACAATTTCAAAATAAGTGGCCAAGAACAGGGCTCTACACAAGTCTCCCCAGCTGGCTCCTGCTAGCTGCCCCTAGCCATCCCACCATCCAGCTGAGTGGTGAGGCAGCAATTTAAAATCAGGCAGCTAAGTATGGGTCTCAGGGACCCCAATCCCAGCTGCCAGCTTTTAAAATCACTACCCTTCCACCACAAAGCTGAAGTGTGGTACCAAAGGGAGCTTCAAGCTGGGCTAACAAAAGGCCTTTTCACAGGGAGCGCCAAGCCGGGCTAAAGAAAGCCCCTGTACGCTCCACTTCTGAACCCTCTGGCTTTGAAATTACCCTGCCACTCAGCTGTATGGCAGGTTGGCAAGGGAGAGCTGAGCTGAAGAAAGAAAGTTTCCTAGAGCTCCTGCTCTGAGCCACTTGCTTTTAAATTGCTGCCCTATTGCTCAGTTGGGCGATGGGGGAAAGGGTGCAAGGGGAAGCTGGAGTGGCTAGGTGCTGGGCATGTAAAGACTTTCCACAGACAAGCTCTGGGCTTCTCCACTGCCTCTTGCTGCCCAGCTGAGCCAGAGCAGTGCAGGTCAAGACAGGTCATTGTACCATAGTGGCAAGGCTTAGAAGCCTTGATATGTTAAAAAAAAGACAAAGAAAATAGGAAGATGCATGCACTGGATACAAGAAACCACTTCGAAAGGGACAGCTGCTGCCAGCTTCCACCAGCTTTCCAGAAGTGCATGTACATAAGAATTGGATATACCTTTCAAATGAAGATGAAGATGAATCCATTCAGATTGAACACCAAGGGCCTAGAAACAAACTTGCTTCTAAGTATGCTTTGTCTAACAAAACAGTTACATTCTGTTCTATAAACATAACACAATGGCATGGAAACAATCCTTTTCTTTGGCCCTTGCTACTGAAAAATGTTTTGCCAGAGATTTTACTTGTCTTTCTTTTCAAAGATTTATTTTTAAAAGTTACTATTCTAAAGGTCAAATGAAAGGTGGCTGTGACTATGGTGCAACTCCCACAACAAAAAATCCCACACAAGAAGCTATGCAGAACATTTTGCATTCCAGATAAATGCACAATGTAAGGGCACTTACTGTTATGCTTTCATTCATTTTGCATGCTCTCTAAAAACTTTTTGTATGTCTTTTGCCTTCCTGCTTGACTTCACATGTTTTTCCACACATTGAATATACCAGTGACTGTTCATTTTCAAAATAGAGAGTCCTAAAAACCGACCTTTCCCCCCCCCAAAATGTAGCATGTTTTACCTGTTTAAGTGAATGTAGTAAATGTTTAATTGTTATATCTCTTTCCAAATTATGAAAAATACAGGTCAAATTAATTTCTGCTTACATATAGAAGGCAGAGCAGGGCAGCACCTTAAGAGACAAACTTGTTCAGAAACGCATTTGATGAAATAGGCTATTGCCTATGAAAGCTTATGCCCCCTGACCGAGTTAGTCTGATCTGCAGTCTGGAAAAAGGCAGGGCAGGGTGGCTCCTTAAGGACTCATGTGGTCATCTATCTACCTTTATCTCCATACAGCCAGAAAAAGAGAAGACAAAGTTAGATAATACATGATATTTACCTGAACGACACCCATACAAGAATCCAGAAATATCGATCCTTTTGGCTCTTTAGATATTTTTTCATCTTTGTAGAAATTGAGATTATATGATCCATCGCCAAGTTGGATTAAATGGAAAAATCTTCTTTTAAATGACTAGTAAAAACAAGTAAATCTTGCCTTTATTATTAGTTTCTTATCACAAAACTAGAACTGCTATAATCATGCTGTATTATTATACACTATAAGTACACATACCTTAAAAATAAAAGCTTCTACTATTTAACTGCCTACTATTAACTGTCTATTTAAACTATTTCCAAAAAACAGGGGGAAATGTTTCTTTATACTGACAAATGAGGAGGTATGGAAACAACTTTTGAATCATATTGTATTGGATGTATGTATGTTTGACCCAGATGAAAGAAATGTAAAATAGCCGCACTCAAAACAACACATTTTATGTATAATACATGAACATGGACCTCAGGTTTTATTCTGAATAAACGAAATAAAGCATGAAAGGGAATTTAGGAACAAAGTGTGTTTTATCCCCCTCCGAAGATACTGCAGAAACCAAAAATCATGTTGTTTTGGGGTTATTTTTTGTGAGGGGGTGGGGGGAAGGGTGTTGTTTGTTTGTTTTTAATCTACCAGTCTGCAAACTTGACCTGGGACCTAAAAGTTAATCTGTACTCCCTTCTCACTCAGTTTCACCAGAACTTAAGAAACTCTCTATACCTGTAGGGGTGTCATGAGTACAATAAAGTAATGTATTTTATGAAGAAAAGCAAAGCATGTAGGATACTTGGGCACATGAAGAGTCCCATATAACATAGCTATAATGAGGATATTTATTGTACAAAAAGCACTTACTTACTCAGCAGAATGTTCTTTCCATGATTCCATGAACTTCAGGGAATTTTCTCTATTTAGTTTAATTTAGTGGAAAGTTTGAAAACGTTTGTTTTTGGCTTCCAATAAGCTAAGCAGAAGGTTCATGCTCAAACTCTTTTTAATAAAAGCCAAGTGTACTTTTCAAAGTAGAACTACAGCAAAATATCTATAAACAGACTTTTTTGTTCAGAGACTAGAACATTAGCAAAAACATACCCTCATTGTTACACTGATTGCACTATTCATATTGCCTTTGTACAGCCATCCTTGTTTTGTTATCCCGCCCTTTTGAGATCCTAGAGATGCTGCATCCTGGGAGAAATGGGGAGGGGCAGCATGGGAGACAAAAGGGGGGGGGGGGAAAAGAAGAAAGATCTGTACCAGAGACACTGTTGCACTTAACACAGACATTCATTAATCTGTTCTTTAAAAGACAGAATACCTATATTTATAACCTGGTGGCATCATTAATGATTCACAAATCCTTATGATAAGTTCATCATCCAATTGGAATATTTCTATGGATGCTATGTTTTCTCCCTTCTTTGCCATCTTTTAAGGCCACATATACTTCAAGTCTCTCATATATTTACAAATTCCTTATTAAGCAATTAATCAATTTTTGAGATGCTACATCTTTCACAATATAAACTTAAGAATGAAAAGAAAAAAATGTCACAAGTTTTATTAGGCAGTAAAGTTAGGATGTAGGGATGGAAGGTTTATCTTATACAGCATGGTATACAGAGTAGCCTTCCTTCCTTGGCACAATTCAGTGCAGGATTATTTCTAAGTAAAAGGCCTTGGTCAATACTGTACCACCTCCCCACACTGGACTTGTCTTTAGGATGGAACCTAGTCTTCCTTACATTGTACAGATGCTTGAGCTGCTCTTGGATTCTGGTCAAGTTCCTAGTATTATCCACAAGCCAAACTGCACCCTTAAATGTCTACCATCAAAGACTTAACATTTACAATCCAGATGTCAAAAAACACAGGAAAGGAGCTGTAGAAGTTTTTAAAAATCTTTAGATATCAGAGCACTAAATATGTTATTAAATGTAAACCACTGGTTTTAACTGTTCTTTCCTGGCACACAATACATGCAAAAGAGCTCAAAAGTCCTTCTGAGAAGTACAAAATGCAAGAATTTGGTGCAGAGTACTTAAGGTTTTTGTTGTAGCTTCACAAAACAACTGTGGAAGCATCGCTATATACATCTCTTCCAAGAACTAAATCCTGACTTTGTATCCTGGCTTAAATCGGGAGCAACT